TATCATTTCATCGATCGATGCAAAAAAAAAAAAGGAAAAGAGGACAATTGGACAGAAAATTGCGGTTTATTTAATTTTTCGTCCTTCATTTATATTTCGGTAGGGGGTGGTTGCTGCAAGGGTGGTTATAATGAGCTCTTCGTTTCGTCGAGAGAGGGAGGGACACGTCATTAAATCTTCACGTTCGACTTGGACTGAACAACACCAGTTCCCAGATCTCGTTAGCGCTCCATTAATCGGGACTCCCTCCTTCCCATCACGCCCACCACGCACAATTAACATAAGCCCCCATTTTTTTCCATACTTCTTCATCATCATCATCATCTTTCCCCCATTTCCTCAACACAACCGAATGCATAATTTCTAATGATCAGCCATTTCAAACAACAACAACAAAAAAACGAGGTTTAATTACAATATTACATTTGCAATTTAATTAAGAAACGCCCGACTGAATTAGACACAAAAAAACGCAACGTATTGAAGAAATAATGAAAATTTAGCCGGACAATTTCAAATGCAAATAGCCTAAAAAAAAGTCTAAAGAAAACATCGTTTTTTTTTTGTACATAAACGTGGATAAACTTCCAATAAGAACTTAAAATAGTTATAAAAAAAACTTTAGTAAAGTATTTGATTGCATGTAAATCCAAAAATCTACAAAGGAAACTTAGATAAACCATTGATTTATAATAAATAACATATTGTCTAGATCAGGATACAAAATTGAAGACTTTAAAGCATAATTTTCCGAAAATGAACATGTAGAATAATGATGTTACAATGTGCACGTTTTGTAACAAATTCGTGCGAGTTTCGGGTGAAAATTGATTAAAGCATTTCCATCAACTTGACTTTAGAATTCCCATGTAAATTAGTAATTTAGTTTGCTGATATATTTGCGTAGTTTATAGTTGATAAAAAGAAATCAATGTAATTCCATTAAACCAAAACAACAAAAATAACATATTCAAAATTGGTATTCTAATGGATCTGACGTTATTATTCACATAAATGTGCAAAGTACTTATCAATAATTCATATAGTATACTCGGTTTAATGCGGATATTTAAATATTCATGGCAAACGTAATTTTATTCGTCTAAATTAATATGGTGCACAACGTGAAAGATTCAAAACGAAAACTTTTCTATTGGATAATATAATAAAATAATTGATTTTGAAATTTTCAAAACAAATTCTAAAAAAATTGATACACAAAAATATTGTTCATTACCCGCACTATACGAGATGTTGCTGTATAGTAAGATGAAAACTGAATTAAATATAGAAGTTGTATTGTTTCCTAAATATAAAGAAAATAATTGATTCGATTCTGTCGCTTTTTTTGGTCCCATGAAATCTTAATTACTGCTGTAATCATCTTAAATAGTTGAAGTTATCTAAAGGTTTATGCATTGAATTATTCCTTTGTGAATTTAAATAAGAAATAAGGATTAATTTAATTATAAAACATTTCTTGTAATATAGTCTTAATTAACGTAGAATTAAGAAACTTCAGGGAAGACGACGAAACGTAAGGAGGTAATTGGAAATATCGGTCGCTCTTTGTGTACATTAAATTTTAATTGCCATCAATGAACTTCTCAGAATTTGCGAATTATAAATAGAATTTTCTCGAAATGTGAAATATCTTTTAAATGTGAAAAAATCTGCTTTGCACTTTGCACTGTACAAGGAATGTATGATAGTTATTTTTTTTGTAATGAATTCTGCGAAATTTTCGGAAAGATGTTGAAGAAGACGGTGAGAGAATAATGGACGTTTTGCTCGCAGAGAAAGGACGGATTCCAATCACGTAACATGTTGAATGGACGTGCGAGTCTCTCATAAGAATCGACAGCTGTACAAAAGTCATAAATACTCTCTCTACGGAGACGAGAGAAACGAGGGAATAGCATTTGGAGGGCGAACAGTTATTTGTGCCGCATAATCCTGCAGCTTCCTCCTGCATCACATTACAACACCAGAAATGAGCAAATATCAACGTAATTTTACCATATTTTCATTATAAATACATGAAGTATTGCATTTCTGTTAATATTTACGTTCACTAGAAAGTTAAGAGCATTTCTCCTCTTTTCAAAACTCTATTTGCTTTTCGTTAAGTAAGCGAAAAGCATATTTATTCCATCGCGGCTTTCATAAACATCAGACGAGACAAATGGATGCAATTTGATGGCAGATGTACGGGGAGGTCGCGTTCTCATGTCGATATTTTCGCCATGTAAGCAAATATTACGTAATGCGCGGATGGAACATAAATATCGCCGAGTTTCGGTCGCACGAGACAAACACACGACCTCCTTTTTGGCCGACTACCTACATATTTAAGATATAACTGCAAGAAACGTACACAAATTTCAACGAAATTCAATAAAACAATAAATAAAACAGTTCTAAACTAAGAATTATATACTTTGTATTGCCTAAATTTAGTGTGCTAGAAACGTAGTCATTTGTTTTCTTTAAAAATATAGTAATTTCAAGATTCATGTCCAATTTTTTCAAGACTAAATTTTACATTTTGTTTTAAAAACAAAATAATATTAAGATTTTATAAACAACAATACGTCGTATAGTGCGGTTTCGATCAGTGCGGATTCGTTGTAGTTCGGTTTAAAAATCAATACACAATTTTTATTTTTGTACATAAATTTTCGTAATTTTTTTTTGTTCTCTCTATAAAGACAAGTTTTCTTTCCTGCTGTTTTAAAGTCCTCGATTAGTCCGGTTTCAAACAGTACAGGATATTGGCGGAACCTGTGTTAGGTATTGCTTTAGTTGTTTTAGCATTAATTATGCTGTGGTAATATATTAGGTGGATGCGCCGGGGTCGGGTATTTTTGTTTGTTTATTCGTAGCCCACTAAATACAATCAGTTTCTGTTTATTTTTTTTAAGTTTTCGATCAGTCCGATATTGACGGAACCGCACTGTTCGAGATATTGCTGCAGCTTTACCAAAAAATCTTTGGTGGATGCGCCGGGGTTCGTTGACGCTGTTTTTTGTTTATTTATTCATAGCCATCTGAATATAATCCGATGTGCACAAATCCAGCGTCTAATCTAAAATTAAATCTTAATCACTTTTAATTAAAACGAAATTTATAAAATATATGCACGTATTAAAACCGGACTAATTTCGCGCGACTCCAACCAACGAAAAACTTTTTTCTCTGGCAACATTTCAAAAGAGCCCAAATGACTTTAAATATTTCGTAATTTGTCCGCACAATCTCTATATTTTGCTTTTGTAAAAGTTTAATAAAATTTAAGATTTTTCAGCAATTTTCATGGTAAACTAAAATTTCATTAAATTTGGATAGCAATGAATCATTTTCAATTAAAATTTAACTTGTTTCGAAATTGTAAAACCATACTACAGTCGAATCAGCACTAATCGAAGCCGCACTACGCAAGGTATTATATAAAGGAACTCATTATTAAGTCTATATTATGATGAAAACATAGGTAACATTTCAGTATATTTTTTGTGTGGGTGCGACTTTAAGAAGAAACTCGAATAGAAACTAATTCCATTTGCTCAGAAGGAGAAGACCTGAAGACCTTTTTATTTGATAATTAGATTTCTCTCTCTCTCTCCACGAGAAAGAGAGACAAAAAGAAAGATGTTTGCATTAGGGACGTGCGCAAATTGCATTAACAGTGGGAACTTTGCAAATATCAATTAAAGTTGAATCATAATAAAGAAAGGAATAAGAACAAAAATGAATACACGCAGATGCGCGAAGAGGGGCAAGAAAGTAAAGACATTTGATTGGAATTTGTATTGAAATGCAGATTGATTGAGTAAACCACAGTCTTATTAATATTCATAAAGTTCAGATTTTCGCTTCTACAAAAAAAATTAATTTTTTTTAACAATTTTGTCGTAATTCATGTTGAAATCGTATAATAATGCAAATGCGTAGAGGAAGTTATTAGTTCTTGTAATTAATTTAAAAAAAAACCTATAATTTCAGATTATTTGAAATATAAAGTTTTACCAAAGTTAACAATTTTTTTTTATTTTGATTTATAAGAAAGTTTCGATCAAATGTTCATTTTTATAGTAGAACAAAATATACCGGACTGTTTGAAGTCGGACTAATCGAAGACTGTAGAATAAAAATAAACAGCACAAAAGTGGACAAAAATTGATTATTAAGTACAAAAAAAATAGAACACTAAATTAAAAAAAAAATCTTAATTACAATTTAGTTTATCTGCACTTATGAAATAATTAAATTAAGGTAACTTGAAATAAGTTATTCTAATTGTAAAGATAGTTGTTAAATATAAAAGAAACTGAAGCAAAATATGTAATAAATCTAACATTCAACAACAACAAAAAACTCGTTTTCTAGTCGATCGGATAATATCCAATTGAATCCGCGTAATCTGAGCCGATTAAAATGGGGAGTGGGGGAATGGGTTTGAAATAAAAAAAAAAACGAATTACAACGAAACCAAAACGAAGAGAGAGGAATTTCGAGGTTGATCCGCGGAGTGAAAAATTTCAAATATAAATTCCAATGAATGGAGAAGAAGGATGAGGGTGGATGGACCAAATAAACCGCAAGGAAGTTATTTCTGGGGAATAATTTTCTGGCAATTAAATTTTCCCTTTAAATTCGAAACAAATTACGTGAATCGAAATTTATTCTTGCTCTTATATACTGGCGGATTTTATATATACTTTTTTCTTCCTTTTTTCTTCCTTGTAGTATTAAAAACAAAAGAAAGAAAATAAAAAGAAGAAGAAGTGAAACAAAAGAACGTGAATCGATTCCCTCTTTCCGATAAATTCCGGTCGTGCGGTCAAAGTCATTAAGAACAAACATCAAAGTGGCACGAGACCATCACGAAACAATATCCGGGGAAAATTTAAAAGGTTATTTCTCTCTCACTCTTTTTATATATATATATATACATATTGAAAGAGAAAGAGATAATGGTAAAACAAAAAAAGTCTTACCTTCCGCCAACTAGGAGTGAGTCTCCATCTCGCATCACCAATCGGAAGAAGTCCGTGTACGTATCGTTCCCTTGGAAACGGTGGACGTCGTCTTCGGCACCTGAAAATATAGATAAAGATAAATTAATATATCCCCCCAAGGTAATTTAGTGAATATAGCGGAGAAGATTTACGCCGTCGAGAGATGACAGTTGGGGGGTGGAGAAAAGATAATGTCCTGGAACTAAAGTCTTTTCAGAATCCGCAGAAAGAAAGAAAGAAAGATAAAGAGAGGATGGGAATCTTCTGCTCTGACCGCTTCGAAATACAATTTGTAATTCATGGAATTAGACAAAGAGTTAAATGCGGTAGAAACGGTCGCTTTCTCTCTTTCTTCTCGACCCAAAACCACTCGAAGCGAATCTAAATCTCTGATTTTTTTTTTGTTCCATTCATACTATTACGGCAAACGAGAAAACAATGGCATCTTCTTCTCCATTTATACTCGCACGCCTTCGTGATCTTTCTTTTTCTCTATCGAATGATCTGCCCTATTTGTTAGATAGTCTCAACTGCTTAAATACTTTTTTTTCTTATAAAGTAAAATTTACATTTATTGTTTTAACTTAACAAAAATAGCATTTAATAAATAATAAAATTAGTTATGTGTACATCGAGGAACTAACTAAATATATGCAATAAACGGCACAAAAATATACTTAACTAATGTGTATATTATTTTTTGTTAGAATTTATATTTATTTTGTTCAAATAAATTAGTGCACTAATAATGAATCTGGACTGATTGAAGTCACACTACGCTAAGTATTCCTGTAATTGTTTTTGGAAATACAACAGTAAATTCTTTGGTGGATGCGCCAGGGTCGGACTATATTTTGTTTTGTTTATTCATAGCCATCTGATAATATAATCCGTTTTCGGGATGTGGCATATCCACCATCTATATTTAATTTTGTCCAATCAATTTAGTGCACTAATAATGAATCCGCACTGTTTGAAGCCGCATTATGTGTGGTATTGATCTCCGATTAGTCCGGTATTGCCTGTAGTTTTAGTAGTAATAATGCAACGGTAAATTTTTTGGTGGATGCGCCAGGGTCGGAATATATTTTTGTTTTGTTTATTCATAGCCATCTGATTATGTAACCTGTGTTCGAAGAGTGGCAAGTCCACCGTCTACATTTAATGTTGATCAATTAATTTAGTGTACTAATAATGAATCTGTACTTTACGATTTGTTGCTGAATATTAACAGGTTTTTAATGACATTTGAGTTGCAGTCTTAAAGTCATCGATTAGTCCTGTTTCAAACAATTAATATTTCAATGGAACCGCACTATATGAGGTATTATTATATATCCAAATCTTTTTATTAATTCATTTGATATTTTGCAAACAGACTTTGTTAGTTTATGATATACCATATATAAAGAGAGAACCTTGCGTCAGGGTCAAACATGTGTTTCTGCTCTGCGTTTGCTGGTCGAAACTGTATGTATGAACACCTCAAAGTGGCAAAAAGTTTAGTGTCGTGTAGCGCTGAATGCTCATTAATCATTAGACTCAATTTATCACCTTTTTTTGGGTCATAGTTAGGCTTTGATCGCGCGAATGCACAAATAAATAACTCAAAATCTAATAGACAAAAAAAAAAGAAAAAATGGTCGTTATATACGATCAGGTTGGGAATAACGGCCGACATCGTTAATCTCTAAGTGACGCATTTATAACGCAAGGAGGGAATCGTCATCGTTACGTATTTCGGTCAATTATCACCGTGTCTGTTACGTAAGAGATGGCGCTGATGATGATAGTACGTCAATTGTTAATTGATATTGTTATTATTGAACGATAGCGGTGCGTAATGAAGTATGCGCTTGCAAATTAATTGATTCGCGGTGCAAACAAATTTCAGATTATTCGAAATATCCACTTCAAAGTTACCATATGTTAATGACAATTTATTTGCATTATCGTAATTGGGTTTTCCTGCGCTTTCATCGTTTAACGAATTTTGTGAAATTTATTCGCGGGTAGAATAATATTTAGAATTTACATAGAAACCGATGTTGGTTGTTAGGAAATCATCCAATTAATGCATTAGAACATTGAATCAATCAAATGCGTATAATGATTTACGGTAAGCCAAATTGCGGTCGACAATTGGCAGTTTCGTGGACGCACACTAATAATGGATTCAATGGAAACGGCGACGTATGAAATTAATGAAAGTGGCAAATTGGTCGGTCCAACAACCAATGCAGTCAGGCAGTAGTGTGTGTGCGTGTGTGTCGACTCCGGGGAATTCCTCACATCGAATGGCGGTGTTCGATTCCGAAGTTTCGTGACATCACATGTGAGATACAGATAGATAGATGGATGGTGAAGAGGGTGGAAGAGAGACGCGATGAAACTAGTTAATTCCAAACAGTGCACTAAATTGACAGAAACAGGAAGCACTTAATTGGGGGAGGGGGGATGTGCTTGCGAAAGGGGTTTAAACGTGGCTAGACGGAATATGATTATATATATATATATGTATGTACGTTTTTAAAAGTGGTCTAGAGGGAGTGTTGAGAGGGGGTGGAGTGGGGTAGAGCAATAATGAAACGGAGCGTATTCGGTCAGGCCGTGACAAATTTACATAGCAGACAGACAGATGTAATTCAATCAGTCCATCATGCATCCGGGAATGCGGAATTGAATTACCTTTTCAACTCTCCCCCAAACCCGCACTGTCTCCTGATAAATGTTTGCCAAAAAATGTTTAATAGCATTGTATTCAACGTGCCCGCCACATTCTTACATTATGTCCCATATTTTGAAATGAAATTATGAAAAAAAAATACCGTTTATTTTTCATTGCTTCGCGAATTACAGTCAAATAGATGAAATCACAGCAATGTATGAATTCCCCAAACATTCAGCTTTTGGATCCAATCAATCTATTATAGTTTCTGAGAAAATCACTAAAATGTAAATTTTTCCTATGTTCATTTTTCATTGCTTCATTTTTGAATGCACAGCCAAATGCATTAAATCACAGTAATATTTGAATACACGTTGCATTCTCCAAATGTTCAATTTTTATATGAATCACACTGCTTTTTCGAGTGTTATTCTTTTTATTATATCAACTTTAAAAGCGAATTGCCAGAAAATGGATGCAACCACAACAGTATCTGAAGACTCGCTACATTCCCAAAATATCCAAGTTTCGTACACATCTTTTCGATCTATTCTATTTATTATAATTTCTGAGAAAATCACTAAAATGTGAAGACATTGCTTTGTTTAGCGTCAATTTTTCATTATCTCATTTTTGAACACCGATTACAGCCAAATGCATGAAATCACAGCAATATTTGAGAACACGTTGTATTCTCCAAATATCCAATTTTCATATGCAACTTTCGGACTTATTTTATCTATTATACTTTATGAGGAAATCACTAAACTGTGAAGATATGACAAATAATCGGTGATTACCGATTTAATTTCGTGTGTTGAAAAAAAACTTGAATAAGTGAGTATAACACGAACGATTGTGCGAAGCTCATGAAAATGCTGGACGAGTTCAGAGGGTAGTGGGTCGTATGATCGAATAGGTAAACTGTAAAATTGAATGGTGAATTGTGCATTATTCGCAGAAACGTGGATCGATGCGGCGCCTGCAAACTCGGATGACTAATATAATAGCAATCGGAGAAGTTGAAGAAGACACTGTCGAGTGCTTCCACGTCCTTCCGCGTTTCACCCAGCATCTAATTTGAATTATCCACAACTACGGTTTGTCGGTTTTTGAAAACCGGATTTTTTCTTTTTTAAGAAATTTATAAGTTATTAATTGTTGCAATATCACTTCTGATTTAGTCACAAAATAAACAAAACGTTTTTTTATAAACCTTATGCAGAACCACCACCAATCAACCAAATGTTAAAAAAAATAGCCCTTACTACAATGATAAACTGTAAAAGTTACACAGACAAGCAACGGTTCAGCGATCCAGATCTAGGTAAATGTTTTTTTTCTTTTATAGAGTTCCATTAAGGAAACAGTGCATTAATAAGGGATCAGCGGAGGAGAAAAAGGTTGGATAACAAACAAGTTCCTCGCAGACACTCTACAAAAGCAGTGAAGACGAACGGACGGACCAAAATTAAATTTAAAAAAAAAATGAAGGGCATCCACTCGAAATTAATTAGCAAATCTTTTTTAATTACGCCCTTCGTTTCGAGCGTCCCGTAAATCTCGGGCATTCCCCCCGAAATAGTTTTAATAATATCCGAACTTTCATCTATCCCCTTTTCCTTTCCTTTTATTTCTGCCCACTTCTCCATCCGTAATTTTATCATACTTCGCGCGAAAGGAGAAAAGAGAAGTAGAAGAAAAAAAAGTAAGAGTAATTTATGCGGCCGTTTTATTGCTGCTCCGCACATACATCCCTTTGAATTCCGCCACCCTTCGATCACGCTACGTCCCTTTTTTATTTCCTTTCATGCCTTCTTTTTTGTCCCTTTTTTTTTTCTTTCACTCTCGGTGAATATGGCCGCGCCACTTCCGAACACAAGACAAATTTAAATTTTGATGAGGTTATACACTTTCGGAAACTAAGAAACTTTTTTAATAAAGGATTATTGGTTCGCTTCGACCTGCTTTTTGTTGGAAATACGCGCATCTGATAATCTATTGTGTATCTTATTTCGCTTGAACTGAACCTAATAATAATCGTCGTCTAAATGTAAGTAGACACTTGGCGAGCGGTTGTCTTTTGGAATCGGATACCCGATTGTATTGGAGCCGGATGAAGCAGTCAGCAAGACTCGAGGAATGCGACCGCAATGAATGTAGTAGACACGGCTGGGGAGGAAGCGGTTAAGTTGGGAAAGCGATGGGCTATTTGTAACGCGAATAGTTGTGTGTGTTTCTGTTCTGAAACCTTAACGCCGACACCGACCGACCGACCGACCAGTCGAAGAGGACGGGGACGAAGGGTTTTGGAAGGGCAGAGGGCTTTGTCTGGACTCGCTCCAGGGCGTTTGTCACAATGATTGAAGCAGCTTCTCGGGGATGTACATGTCCTTAGAGCTATTGCCGGC